TGCATTAAGTTTTACAAAACTGAAAACTATGACAAGTTGAGATTGGTATAAGGCTCTTACCTCTGCGGTGCTTTGCGTGCCACATTCTTTCTTATCAAAAAAAATCCCTCTTTTGGTCATATTCAGAGACAAGGCGAGATACCAAATAAGTCCCTGCAACTTTTATTTAAGACACTGGAGCACTGAAGTGTTATGCCTGCCTGATTGCTTCTGCTGTTTAATAATACTTTAAAAAAAAAAAAAAGAGAGAGATTAGCTTATTGTAAGCTACTTGCTTTGAATATATTTTTTGGGTAGTGGATTAATTTTCTTAGCTTTTCAAAGTATACAGGAATGACCACCACTGTTCCTATAGTGGTCATAGAATGCAAACCTTTACCAAATCTTTACCAAATATAGTGAAGTTTATAGAGGTATGAAGTTACGCCATTGTCTTTCTTAAAAGGAAAGTGTTCTATCATCTGCTTGTGCTGTCCTGGTTATGTTTACAGTGACTGCTGTAAATTGGAAGGAGGCGAGGAGGATGAATGATGAATTGTTTCAAAATGAATTCAGAAAAATTGGCTGACATTAGCACAAAGACACTTTCTGGCAATTCTTTCCAGCTAAGCAGCTTTATGAAAGTGCATCTGCATTTTCCTTTGCCACTCCTAACCCCTTCAGGTTTTCTGTAGAAATTCTTAATTCAAGTGGTTTGGAGCTTAGTAGTAACAATCTGCGTCAAATAATATGGTCTGAGATATTCTAAAAGCGGATGTAAACAGGTCAGAAAATTTATGGCAAATTTTCTGAATGCTGAATGAGCACTTGAATGGCAAAGCTCTGCATGCCTGGAAATTTAATGTAGAGTTCTCCTTGCAGAGAACTCCAGTTCTCTGCAAGTTCACTTTCACTGTACTATCCTAATTTCTGAAAGTCCTTCCCTTTTGTAAATCTCTGCAAGTTCACTTTCACTGTACTATCCTAATTTCTGAAAGTCCTTCCCTTTTGTAAATCTCTGCAAGTTCACTTTGACTGCAGTATCCTAATTTTTGAAGGTACTTCCCTTTGGTTTTTTGCTCAGAGCTCTACTGTCAATTGGCTGAGCATCTGCAGCTGTACAGAAGTTACTGGCTCATTTATTAGGCGACTTTCCTCCAGTGAGAATGAACTGTTGCATGCCCCAAAATGGTCAAACAACTCTGAGTTCGCTCCTGAGACAGAGGACTTCATTCAGACTTCTGGCAGGTTTGGGACCTTGGGGCTTGCCTACACAATAAAACCACTGCAGCATGTATAGGCAAACCCAGGGCTAGTTTTAATTAGCATTGGTAACAACAGTAATAAAGACCCAGCAGCACAGGTTCAGCAGGTGTGAAGTGAGGGGGCAGACGTATTTTGATTGAAAATATCTCCTGAAAACTCAGGTTGGCCCATCTTATTTGCTATTGTTATGGTGCTGGGGAGACTGCAAGCTGGTTTTGGTTGACTGGCCCAAGCCATGACTGCATCCTTCTGCTATGCATGGGAACTGTTGTATTTCCATAACACCTGCATAAGGTTCTTGAAAGAATCATAGAATGGTTTGGGTTGGAAGGGACAAAATCATAGAATTCCAACCCCCCTGCCATAGACAGGGACACTCCCCCTAGACCAGGTTGCTCAAAGCCCCATCCAACCTGACCTTGAACACTTCAGATATGGGGCATCCACAGCTTCTCTGGGCAACCTGTTCCAGTGCTTCACCACCCTTCACAGTGAAGAATTTCTTCCATGTACCTAACCTAAATTTCCCCTCTTTCAGCTTCAAAAGATTAAGTTCCTGTAGGTGAAGGCAGGAATATGATCCTGGATGGCATTTCTTGGGTGTGGACTTTCTCTTTGATCCTGTTCCATGACAGCTCATATGTAAGTGTTAAGGTATGTGACAAGGTATTTATCAGGGTTTGGAATAAGGCAAAGCTGGAACTAAGGTGCTATTTAGCAGCATGACAGTTTGCAGTGCTTTTGGTGTAGGTCATCTCCTTGGCTCTGGAACTTCTACAGATACATCAGATGTCCAAGACCTGGGAAAGTTGCTCTTTCTGCTGCCTTAAGGTTGTGCATGTGAATCAGACTTCTGTACATTGCTCTGTTTTGCAAGCAGTACCCATTTTTTATGACACTTTACTTTAAACAAAGGACAGCCAGTGGTTTCACTGCTCAGGTGGGAATGCAGGAATGACGGAATACACACTCTCCTCATGTTCTTCTCACTGGTGCCCATAGCCAGAGCAGGGCTGTGCAGCCCTTCACATGGACACAGCTGTGCAGATGATGAGGAGAGGGGTGTGTTGGTGTGGCATCACCAGCAGTCCTGACTGTGCTTCACCACAGATGGCAAGGAGGAGTGTGAAATATGGGCTTTGTTTCAGATGTGTGGGCCCTTCCTCCTCCCATTTCCTCGCGGCCCCGAAGGACCCAATTCCTGCCTTTTGTGTCTGCAAAATTCTCCCAGTTCAACTGTGAGTCACTTTTCTTCCTCTAGAGGTGGACTCCCATCTTTCCAGCCCAACTACTTGTTATTTTGGAAAAGTGAAGACTACTGTCCCTTTACTTACCTCGGCAAGAAATAGAGGGGATGGGAGCAATCTACCATCCTAGAGAGCAGGAAAAGCAATTTTCAAGGTCCTTCTAAGTTTCTAAATGGGAAAATCCTGGTTTTCACAGGCAGTAATGTCAAGGCTTGTCCTGGAAGGCCATTTTCACTTTTAAACTTGCATTTTTTTTCCACAGTTTTTGCTATTCTCGCTTCTAGGGTAAAATGTCATTTTGGTGTTAGAAGGTAAGCCAAATGTGATATGTTTGGACATATATAGCTATTCTCTGCCTGTATTTCTTTGCAGCTTCTACCTGTATGGAATTAAACCCCTGTGCTAGGAAAAAAGAATGTTCAGAGCTGTTTACCTACTTGGATTTCTGCTTTTTAAACCCAATCTAATTGATGCTAAATAAATTGACATGGGAAAGATAGAAGGATCTCAGGAAATAAATGGCTGCAAACTATATGTCATGGTTACAAATGGTTTCTGTTTGGGGCGGGAAATGGATTTTAATTATCTTCTATAGAGACTGTAGAGAGATGGATGGAACAATTGTTCAAATGAAGTTATTTCCATGAGCTCACAGGCAACAAGCCTTGCTTATCCAACCATGTAAAACAAAGAAAACTCAGGCAATTAATTTAACGAGAGTACTTGGGACATGATATCATTCTGAATGGACGAGCCTGAAAAAACAGCTATTTTGAATCACAGCGGGATACACATACAAAACAGTATCCCTGTGCAACAAAATCCCTCTTAGCTGGGTGCCAAAAATTGGTCTGTTAGAACCATGGCGGATTTGCCCAAACCTGGAGTTTTGGGATAAGCAAATTCCTTTTTTAATACTCACAGTAGTGGCAAGTAAAGCCTATGTGTGATTTGAATTGCTTGTGAGAGAGAAGGTGCCATTTCATACAGTCAATTTAAATATGTTCTTGGAACAAGTCATTACTAGATGTAGATCCACTAGCATTTCTTTTCTTTCTAGCACAGAAAGAGAACATAAACCACTTTTCTTTCCAGTAAGCCTTTTTGTATAATCTTGGACAATAACAGCTGGTGGAACAGCTTCTTTAGTGCAGGTAGTCAGGGGGCTCTTAAAGTTGGCAAGAGAAAGATGCACTATCAGTAGCAGTATCTAGTTGGTTTTTTTGCTGTTCAGGTTACGCTTGCAGTAAGAGCTGTTTCTCGTTCAACTTTTCTCTCCCCTCACAAATGCTGGATTTTTAAAGCCCTTCTTCATTTTTTCTCCTCCTGTTCCTTGCATTTTCAGCTGTTTTCAGTTATACAGCTCACTTTTTTAATAGCTTTACATAAAAATAACCATTGACTGGTTGTGGAGTTTCTTGTTTTCTTTAATGAAAGAGCAAACCAATGAACCAACACTATAGATCAGTTCTGGAACGCAAATCGTCATACCAACAGCTCCCATCTCAAACAAAGTTAATAAAGATATTGGAAACCTCATTATTCCTACGGTAGCTTCTGTTTTAGCAAGAGCCAGAGTTCATGCTGCTTTTGCCTGGTCCAGGTTTTGCTGCTTTTGTCACCAAGGGGACTGGGGGACAGCAGCAGGGGCAACTCAGGGTCTGTCTGTGCCCCCAAAGCCTGCAGAGAGAAGCAGAGGCACCACATGGCTGCCGTTTGTCAGAGCACATGGTGTCTGTGCAGAGATGCCACGTGTGTCAGGGTGTGTGGTGGCTGGGCACTGCTCCAGGCACCCGCTTGGGGCAGGGCAGGGGTGACACTGCGGTGTTGGTGACAACAGGGAACACTCGTCCTGCTGCAGGTCTCATCCTTACACGTGGGCCATCTGTGCCACGCTCGCTGATGAGCTCAGCCGGCCTGGATCCATGTTCGCTGTGGGGGAGGCGGTGTGCGGTCCCTCTGGCGGGACTGCCCCGCTGAGCCACCCCAAAGTCGGCTGGGGACAGAGACATGAGAGACATGGAGCTCCTCGAGCAGGTCCAGTGGAGACCTACTAAGCTGATCAAGGGACTGGAGAATCTCTCTTACAAGGAAAGGTTGAGGGAGCTGGGTGTGTTCAGCATAAGAGATGACTGAGAGGGGAACCTCATCAATGGGTCTTCTCAGCCAGGCTCTTCTCGCTGGTGCTGAGCAATAGGACAAGAGCAGGTGGAAACTGATGCACAGGAAGTTCCACCTGAATATGAGGAAGAACTTCTTTACTGGGCAGTTGACCACGGATTGGAACAGGTTGCCCAGAGAGGTTGTGGAGTCTCACTGGAGATATTCAAGAACCATCTGGACACAATCCTGTGCCATGTGTAGGATGCCTCTGCTTGAGCAGGGAGGTTGGACCAGATGACCCACTGCTGCTCCTTCCAGCCTTACCCAGCCCGTGACTCCGTCGCCCCCGGGCCGTGTCGGCCGAGGCGAGGCGGCGCGGCCCGGCCCTGCCGCGCTCCGTGAGGCGGTGCCCGCGGGCCCGGCGCGGGGGCGGGGTGGCCGCGGGGGCCGGCGGCGGGGCGGCTCCTTCTTTGGCCATGAGCGAGGTGCCGGCATTCGGCCGCCGCCGCCGCCTGCGGGACGCGGTGAGGGAGCGGCCGCAGCGAGGTTCCGCCGGCGGCAGCGGGCGGGTGGGATGGCCCAGGCCAGGATCAGCGCCAAGGCCAGCGAGGGGGCGCAGCAGCAGCCGCAGCAGCAGCAGTCGGGCGGGCAGCTCCGGGGCCGCTTCTACCGCTCCACCTCCATGGCCGACCGCTCCAGCCGCCTGCTCGAGAACCTGGACCAGCTGGAGCTCAGGTGGGCCCGGGGCCGGGCGCTGGGAGGGAGCCGGAGCCGTCTGGCACCGAGCCGGTGGCTCCGCAGCGCGGGGCGCCGGCGGGCGCGGAGCCCTCCCCGGCGGGGCTGGGCAAGGGGGAGGTGAGGATTCCTGAGGGGTCCGAGGGAAAAGGGTCCCCCCTTATCGGGGGCGAAGTTTAAAAATGGGAGCTGCTGTTCTAAGGTGAACTAGCGTGTCCTGGAAATACACGAAAATAGGAATATTATATGAATGTATGAAAACAAACGTTTTTCAGAGAAAGTGCCAAGGGCAGCTTTGGATTTATTACGCTTCCCGGTTTGGGGAGTCTTTAGCAGGCAGGGGATGGGCTGCGTGCTGTGACACGGCGTGTACGAGCCCGCGGTGGGTCGTAGCTGTCGCCCCCGTCCCGCATCTGTCGGGCAGGTGTTTTATAAGAAGATGCAGGAAATCCGAAGATAAAACGGGGTGTCTTTCGGGCTTTCGGAGGCTCTGGCAAGCCTTCAAGCTGCAGTGCTGAATGCTGGCGTGTGAGCCTTCGTGTCTTCCAAACCGCCCTTTGCACTTACTGGTTCAGCTGTGGATGTTGTTACCTGTGTACATGTCCACCTCTTCTCTGGGGTGTATTAAATCCTGTAGCTAAAACGTGAACAGCATCATATTCTGAAGCTTAGGTGTATTTTTCCGAAGTTATTGCAAATGCTATATGAATTTCATCGTTGTGCCAAGACATGTCATGTCTTTTTCTGCTTGAAAATTTGACATTCCATTAATAATACTATTTGACTTTTTTTCCCAGTTTGGCCTCATGAGAGATGATTCTTTACCTTTAATCATCTTCCTTGTTCTCTCAGCTCTGCTTAATTACACAGTGTCCTTTCTGAGGTGGATAGATGTGCAGGATGCCACTGATTCACCTCCTCTGGTACTGTTTCAACACACCCTTTCCTTCATTACAGCTGCATATTGATCAACGGCTTTCACAGAACCACCCAGAATGTTTCTAGGACTTTCCTGTAATTAAAAGAGCTCTGTGGGATGCAGGAGTTGCATTTTTCCCTTTCTGCCTGCATTACTTTGCATTATTCAGGAGTGGACTTGATGTGCTGTTATATTAGCCTTTCACTTAGCTTGATTAAATCTCCTTGAAGTCCTTCACAGACTTCTCTGTATTTGACTAAACAAAATCCCAGTCTGCAAACAAGTCTCCCTGCTTACTTGCAGGTCTAGTGCATGATGAATATATAATCACAAAATGAGCATCAGAATATGCAAAAATGTGTTTTAAATTTGCTGAGTGACTCTGAAACAAAGCAGACAGTTTGGTTAGCCAGAAATTAAACCTCCAATTAAATTTTCAAGTCTTTCAAACAGGCATAGTTCTAAATGCAGAATAGCCATTAAAAAAAAGTCAAACTAATTTGATAGAAGTCACTCAAGTCTTATGAGGCACAACTAATCAATGTGCCTCACTTCAAAGTTATGTGAATGACAGGAGAAAAAGCTTCCAAACCTCTTCATTCTCCAGCTGGTTTGGTTTAACTATAGACCCTTGAGATGTTGCTTGTAAATGTAAGTGAAAATTTGTCAAAGTGAACTACAGTCTTTAATTAAACCCCTCAACAATCCTCAATTCTGAAGTTGCTTAAGGTCAGACAAACTCTGAAGCAACTCTCATCCCTTTGGAAATCATAGAATCAAAAAATGATTTGGATTGGGAGGGACCTCAAAGATCATCTAGTTCCAAACCCCCTTCTGTGGCAGGGACACCTTCCACTAGACCAAGTGGCCCTATCCAACCTGGCCTTGAACACCTCCAAGGATGGAGAGTCCAGAGTCTCTCTGGACAACCTGTTCCAATGCTTCAGTGAAGAATTTCTTCCTAATATATAAATCTACCTTCTTTCTGTTTGAAGCCATTGTAAAATGCTCCAGTTTGAACAGCCTTCCTTTTCCTCTCTTTCCCTCCACTGTAAGGGCTTATTTTCCAACAGTAATGGGGTATTTTTGTACCTCCCTGATAGGTGTTTGTGGAGGGGCTTTCTTCTGCTTGGAAAGTGAGCAGGAAAGGGGAATTAATTTGGCTGCCGGGGAGTGAGTGCCCCAGGCAGGGGTGGCAAGGGGGGCAGGTGGCACGTGTGCCCCTTGCCAGAGCTTGGACCTTCATGTTGCCCTGGCTGCCAAGATATCTCAGGAGCAGCTGGAAGGGGGACCAGAGTCTCTTGTGTATGAGTCACTGTGTTCTGGTGGTTAAGTGAACACGTAGTTCTAGGTGTGATGATACATAAGTCAGACTCTTTCTGATTTTGGGTTTTTTTAACCTAATTTTTCGTACTTTTCTTGTTCTCCTTCGGATCAGCCATATTCCCCCACTGTTCATGCCTGTGTTCATGGGACTGCTTACTTGGGAATGGACATTCAGCTGAAGCACCTGAGGATGTCAGAGTGAAAGCCCCTGCTTTGTCTCTGTCTAGTGTGCTCAGCTCCATTTCAGGAAAAAAGCAGCTTCAGATGTTTCTTACTTCCTCTGAAAACTTATCTGCACCTCTAGCACATGGGCTTTAACAGTGAGCTGTTTAAGTCAGTCAGTAGTTTAAAGGACAGAGTTATTGCAGCTGTCCTAAGAAAGCAGGTGTCGAGTTTCTCATCTGGAAACAAAAGCACAGGCTGGTCCACCTGTTCCTCAGGGGAATGCTCTGCTCATATAAATGGTATGTAGCAAAGAAAGGCACTGCACAGCTAATTGCTCTTGGATGAGGAAAATCAGAAGTAAGGAATGTATTCTTCAGTCTTAGGTAATGGATGGGCTATTTAGTTGATGTTCAAAGTGACAAATACACTCCAAGTAAAAATATGATTGGATGTTTTCATCTGTTAGAAAAAGACCATGCTGCTGCATTGAAATAATTGATAACTAGACATGAATATGAGTATTTTGTGTTCTCTTTTCTTTGCCTTCTATTCTTTGGCTGGTTGTTTCTTTGAGACTTGGGTTGTTTTTCCACTCCTTCCTACAGCAGTCACCTCTGTTAGAAGTTTCTCCTCCAACCTTTTTCTTTTTTTTTTTTTTTTTTTGGTGCCCTGCACAAAGAAAGTAAAGATTTAAAGAAATCTGTGAAGTTAAGACACATTTTAGGAAAGAAGTTATGAGAGCTGACTGCAAGGTGTGGTCCTGACACTCTTGCAACAAGAAAGGAGGGAAAGGTGCGCAGTCCCTGCCAGGCCAGGGTCTCTCCTTGGCCTGTAGCTGGGGAGCCGCTGGGACCCACCCCAGCACAGAGAGAGGCAGAGGCCTTGGTACAAGCCAGGGCAGCGAAACAGATTGAGGCTATGGTGGGTCTCTCACCTTGGTAAAGCCACCCAATATTTTCTCTGGAGCATTATTTTCCTGAGGTTGATGTATGTGGTTTCCTTTTCATTTTTTTTTTCCTACTAGAGTGCTGTTCTGAAATGACCCTGTCCCATTGTTGTGTTGCACTCTATATTGCAGTTGAAAAAATGGTAAAAATAATTCTGAAGAAGCAATTATTGCAAATAAAATAGTTCTTAAGATTTGGTTATGAACTTTCTGTAAATTAATGTAAATCAAAGTTCTAGTTGGTAAACTATGGGTTTGGTTTTGTTTGTTGTTGTTGCTTTTTGTTTGTTTGTTTTTTGTTTTGTTTTGTTTTTTGTTTTTTCAGTATACAACATTAATTCTGATAATTTGGCTTTTAGGTCCTACCTCACATACCAAGCTGGCTTTTGGGAGCAGTGATATTTTAGGCACTCTCTTTAGAACTGTACCAATTCAAGATACATCTCTGCAATGCAGTTTTTCCACATTCTTCTTAGGACCCAGGAAAGTCTGTGGAAATCACAGTTTGATCTGTCTACTGAAGGCAGAACTTTATAGTTTTTAAGTCAATGCAATGATATACAGAATCTGATTTAAAAACACTATTAAAAATTAAATTCTGCACTTCAAAGTTTTTATTTACAGCTTTCCAGCAACCACATTTTTTCAATTGTGAAAATACTATTTTTTTAAAAAGGCATGGCAAGGCATTATGAAAATTTTGCTAGACTTCCTAAATTATAAAGTGAAGACATCTGAAGTATGAAATGACTCCACCTGCCTCATTGCTCTTACTAACCAGTCCAAAATAATAATTAAAAGCATTTGCTCTCGGCAAGAATTTGCATTGCATTAACTTTTCCCATTCCTCCTCAGAGTGAACATTAAAGCCAAGGCCTGAAGCCTGTACTTTCACTGACTAAATTAGGCAAAATATTTTGTAAAACAGAACCATTTCATGAGCAGGCTGCATGTGAAGCATGACTATTTATATCCCCAAAAGCTCCCATTCTTCTGCCTTCTTTCACCTTCTTTTCTCTTCCTGCTGTTTTTCCGAAGTTACCTGTCCTCAGCCAGCCTGTGAGAAAGGAGCAGCAGCTCTGTGCCTGTCTCAAGAGATACACCTTTTTCTGCAGAGGCAGCACCGTTTCTGGGCAGTACTCAGTAATGTTGAGGAGCACAGAGCATCTAAGAGACTTAACAATGTTTTGGTTTGTTTCTCCTTTTCTGGCCAGGTTTGATAAACATTTCAGGATAGATGGATGGATTCTCGTGATGCAGCTAGACCTCCTCAGCTGTGTGCTGCAAGTGTCTGAAACTGTCAGCCAGGTTCACATGATCCTCTGCTTTTCTGTGGGGTGTGGGAATGCAGAGTTGATGGCTTTGGTGCAGCTCTTGCAGCCAGTTTCAGCTTGGCAAGTCCTCTGCAAGCCCCTACCCTCAAGTCTTCAGGGAAAAGCCAAGGGAGTGGGATGTTTCCCTCTTTTGTACCTGTTCTTCAGAGTGTTGCATTAGAGTTCCCAGATGTTCTTTTCTGTATTACTCAGCTGAATACAAAAGCCCCCTCCTTAAAACTGTGGCTGAGAATAAGACAAGAATTAAGGAATTGGACTCAGATTTCTCATGTGGCATTTTCACATTGCCCATGGAGAGCTGGGTCTGTGCCTTGTGCCACGAGGAGGGCAGACCATAGGCACCAAACCACGCAGCTTACTTGAGATCCAGTAATTACAGGGACAGCAGTTCCCAATGGACTTTCCCCTTGCCCTCACTGCATCACATGTGAGTTTCAGCACAGAGAACAGGACTGGAGTAGGGGTCCGGTTTCAGGAGGAACTGACTGACGTGCTTCTCTGCATGCCCAGAAATAGGAGCTGCTCCCACAGAAGCTTCCTCCCTCTATGAGTCACTTCATGGAGCATTGCTCCATGGAAAGCACCAGTGACAGTGGGGGCAGGAAGTCCAGCTTCTTCTCCCAGTGACCAAGGCACACCACTTGTTGGGGAAGCCCTTGTCACATTAAGAAAAGTGTGTGAACTTTGTCCCACTCACAGGGTTTTCTCCTTTGTGAAAGGGGTTGTTCGGCTGCAAGGCAGCATTTCAGTTTTCTGAGTGTTTGTTGCTTTGCAGGTGGATCACGTGGGTTCTGCACTGCTGGTGTGGGGGCACCACCAGCAGCCAGGGCCCTTTGCTGCCTCCTTCCCTGCAGCTGCCACTTTCATTGCCAAGTTCCCCAATGGACTTGGTCCATTTCCCTTGTGGTTAAGCAGCTGATAATAATTGCCAGTTGGCTGTAAGGACTTCTGCTACATGGTTGAAGGACCATAAGGCTCTCGGTATCCAGATTAACCGTGGAATAGGACAGAACAGCACTATCAGTAAAATAAATAATTGCAGGCTGATTGAATTACTGTTGTTTTGTTTTGCCCCTCCATTTGTTTGTTTTTTAAAACTATACTGAGTCTTGAAAAGTGAAGTTAAGATACAGGAAAAGGTAGTGAAATGAGGGAGTCTGGCTCATGGATAATTAAGAAATGACTGTACTTCTTTAAGCTGAAGTTTAAAAAATAAGTTTTTGTCAGCTGTATAGATGAACAGCTATTTTATTATTTAAACATTTTGTTTGGTTCAACCATGTACAGGGTAGAGGCCTTCCGTGACGCAGCATCTGCTATGGAACAAGAGAAAGAAATCCTGCTAGAAATGATCCACAATATACAAAACAGCCAGGATATGAGGCACATCAGTGAAGGTGAGAAGCTGCTTTGCCATACCCTCCAACTGACCCAAAGTCAAACCAGCCTGTCCCTTGGGAAGCAGCTCGATATGGTTCCTTGCTGCCAGTAAAGGTGCAGCACTGGAGCCAGCTGAGGCTGTTAAGGGCCACCCATTTCCCTGAGATCCCCTTTTCTTAACTGTAAATTCATGCTGTTTAGGTAGATGAACTACCATTAATGTCATTACTGTATATGTGAAAGCTCATACTCAGCTCACTGATATATTTTCAAAATCAGGCTTACTATAGCTCAGCAGAGGGAGAGACGTTGATTATGATGATTTAATATAGTTGAAACCCCAGCATTTTAATGATTTTGACTACTGGACAGGTTACAAAGTGTACAGCCTGGAAGAACCTGATGATTAAGATCATTGTCGTAGTTGTATGATATGTGGCTTTAAATATCTTCCCTAAACCTAGTATTAGGTGCTTTAAATTGCTGGTCTTCAAGAACCTACATGTGAAATATGTTGCATCCATATTTCAGAAAAGAACCTATGTTTTCAGAAAATAGAAAACCATTTTTTTTCATGGCCTCTAGTTTTCTCTTTATGGTGTTCTGGGATATTGTCTAAATCTCTCCCTCAGTGTGGCTGGCACAGAAGGTCAGTTCTGTTAATGAATGTTTCCTGGTAATATTGTACACTTTGCTTTAATGTGACATAGTAAGCATTGTGTCAGCAGTAGAAAAGCATTGCTTACATTTTTAGTAGAGCTTAATGCCTCATTTCAAATCAGAAGACACTGGCTTCTATCAAATGAGTAGGACTTTGGCAAATGCAAAAAGCTCATTTCTGGCTTCTGGAAATCTTGTTGTTGTCACTTACTTAAACAAATGTTGTTTATTGCTAAGTTACAGCAGTTTGAGTGTCTTGATGATGCTATTTGCACAACAGTGTATTTGCCTGTAACCAAGGATACTTTATTGTTTTCAATTTAGGTGAGAGAGAAGAACTTAATTTGACTGCTAATCGCCTGATGGGCCGAACCCTCACTGTGGAGGTTTCTGTAGAAACCATCCGGAATGCCCAGCAGCAGGAATCCCTACTGCATGCCACAAAGATGATTGATGAAATCGTCAATAAACTTCTAGATGATCTGGAAGACGCCAAAATGCGCTTAATATCACTTTATGGTGCGTGCACATCCGACGTGCCGGCAGGACCCATCGATCAGAAATTTCAGTCTGTGGTAATCGGATGTGCCATTGAAGATCAAAAGAAAATCAAAAGGCGGCTAGAGACTCTGCTCAGAAACTTGGAAAATTCTGAAAAGTCCATCACGTTGTTGGAGCATCAGAAATCATCTGTTCGACAGTCTTGCAACAGCAAACAGGATTAATGCATCCTCCTGGCTACTTCTGGCAAATCGCAGGATAAGCAAGTGCCCGTAAAAAGCACACAGAAGCCAAGAAAAAATTCTCTGTACGAGCGCACGCGTATGTACACATACACACGCACCAACGTATCCTTGATTCCAAGTTGCAAGCATTTAATGGGTTTTGGTAGCATTGGCATTTTCTTTTGGCAATAAGGAACGCTATCAGTTCCTCTCTAGAGTCAATACCGTTCTATTGCAAATTGTAATTGTGCTTCTGCTGAACTCACAGAAACTGTCAAAATCTAGCCTTTCCTCCATTCTCCTGGGTGTTTTTTAAACTAAAGTTGTTTTGTCCTATCATGAGATTTCAGCTTTTCTCTGTTGTATACATAGTGTGTGAACCAGACTTTTGGGGGACAAGAGATAAATCCTGGCAATAAATCAAAACCATTAATAAACTGTTTACGGTATTTTCATAAACAACAGAGTGTCCTACACATTACCATTTGTAATTTGGCACTTTTTGAATATTTTGAATAAACATATCACAATACTTACAAGAGACAGACAGATACCTCCATTTTTTAACTCAGGAAGTCAAAAGCAATACATGCATCCAGAGGTCAAAACTGAGGCTAGAAATGAGCTCTGGCTCTTGTAATGCCCTCTCCAACCATCCTTCTCCCATTAGCTCACAGTAACTTGAGGTTGCTGTGTATTTCTTTTAAAAGATAATAGAAAGGGGAAATGTATTTTATCAGCTATTACACCACAAATCCACTTTGCATCATCATCTGTGAAGCCACAGAGCAAAACAATTGAATTGTCAACTGGCAGACAAAGTATTTGTGTCTTGTGCATGATGATAATTTTTATATCCAGCGTTACTTAACTCTTCGTGTGGGTGGTTTTTGTGTTTATTTTTTTCCTTCCACCCTCTCACTCCCAGTAATTACTGCTCATCATCACCATGCTCTGTGGCTGTGGGTCAAAACTAGCAGATTTTAGGGTGTACCTGGAATTTTGCAACTGGCTGTAGTCTTGTCAGTCTTGCACTATTTCACCCAAGGGTGGTGGTGCCCTGAAGGGAGCAGAGACCTCTGTAGCTCAACCCTCAGCCGTCTGAACTTGGTTCAGGTTAAAGCTCAGCTGGGAGGAGCTGGAGTGATGCCAGCAACCACAGCTGCCTTGGTGGCAGTGAGTGTTACAGCTGGAGCATCACACCTGGATGCTCTCAGGGCCCCAGCCCATGGTGGGAGCGCTTCACGTCACGCTCCTTAACAAGCAACACTCTGGAGATCCATGGTTATAAACTCCTTGGATGGGCAAAAGGGCTCTGCAGGGGAACTCAGAGCTGCACTTCTTGGAAACCTCAGCTACTACAAGGTCACCATCACTGCATTTTGTTTGCAGAAACAGCACTTCAGATGGGTGCTTCAAAAGCAATCAAAGCTTCAGCTTTGAGACTGTGAAAAGTTTTTAAGAGTTTGGTGGAATTAATTCTGTAATTCCACTTTTAAAATCTTCCAGCTATTCAACAGCAATAAAACTCTTTACAATAATACACAGCATGTATATTATGCATATAATCATATGATTATATGCATAATATAATCATGCAGAAAATCAGAAATCATGCTGTGCAATAGTTAAGTTGAACATAGCTTCTTGTTGCTTAGAATATTCCTTCAATATTTTGGGGTTTTAAGGACATATAGGGTTATTCAGGCAAAAAGTGTTGAGCTTTGTTTTCTTTCTTAGATGCTCACTGTTTGTACCACTAGCTAAAGGAATTTTTATTTTTTATAGCACTTGTGCTATCATAAAATAGTTGGGTTAGAAGGGACCTATAAAAGTCATCAAGTCCAACGCCTTGGTAATGAACCTAAAACATTGCCAATTAATCCCTACTGGGGTGTTAAGCAAGCAAATTGTTTTTCTGTGTGCAAAACCATGTGCAAGAGGAAGCAGGAGTATGTTACTTCTGATATTCCTCAAATACCTGGGTAAAGAGGCAGACACAGATGCTAACTTGTGTTTTACTAAAAAAAAAAATAAATACCAAAACAACATAAAACCCCCAACCAACATATTTACCTGTTTCTTTTCAGAAAATGCACCAGGCATCTTTAATATATTAATAATAATTTAATGCCACTTCAATGTCCACAATCATTGATTTAAACCTTGTCACTGTATTGGCCAGACTAATCATAAAAAGAAAAATTACCAGAAAGAGCAGAACAGAATCCATTTTGTATTTCAACCCCAGGTGAAGAAATCGGAGGCAAGAGCTCAGAAACAGCATTTCTGTTAGACTGGGGTGCCCACACTTGTTTCTTTGAGGGTATCTCATATGCTGTCTTGCATCCCAGCTGTTGGCAACACACGGACTAGAATCAGGCACACAAATTTCTCAGTCAGATTGAGGTTGCACAGCTACAGGGTTATAGCAATTTTTTGAAATTTAATATACTGACAATTTAATATAACCACAAAAGTAATGACTTGTATCAGACCAAACAGTAAGCAAACAAACATGTTTTAAGTTGCATGATGCAACAAGTGTCACAAGAGAACAGCAGAATTAACTTGTAAGGATTTTACAGGAATGGCATACACAGAATATTCAGTTTTAAACACTGATTTTTCTACTTGAAGATTTATGGTATGTTGACCTTTTTTTCTAAAAATCTGTTACATTTAACTTGAGATCACAATGGTGATAAAAACAGTTACATACATTATCTGTTTTAGCCACTCACATTTAAGTCATTTATTAGTAATGATACATCTTTATCCTTGCAATGTTGATGGTATTCTTCCTGGTCCAGATTAATTTTTAATTTTTTTGACCAACTTCAGTCAGTTCAGCAGAACTGACAAACTATTTATCAGTATTACCCTACTACTAGAAACCAGAGAATGAGTCTAGTTCAGTACTAGGACTCACCTGGCTTTGAGATGACTCATATAGAAGACTTCGACAAGGAACATTAGCAAGTTTTTCTTATTCCATTATAGCATCTTTCACCTTAAATCTAAGAATTGCTGTGTTTGTCATTCTATAATTCTGATTACCTGTTTGCATGCCATATTTAACAGAAATATTTTCTTCTGTCAATATTATTTGTGCATTAGAAAGAAAATATGCACAACTGTTGCTTCCTACAAAAAGATGGCAAGGTCGCTTTGACGAATTCAAGCCTGTTGGACAATTTTTGCTCTCTAATTTTGCTACAATTAGTGTTCAGGTACTACAACTTCAACCCAAGGTCTCTGACCTTGTAAGGAAAGCAGTAGGGGCTCAGGTACCGTCACTGGAATCTGAGCAGCACGTGTATTATCTTGCTGCATAACAAAACTCCCACACAGGGTCCGCAAATCATGAATACAAATCATTCATTCTGTTGTTATCTGGCAGCACTCAACCTGAAGGGGTGAATTAACAGGTTCAAAGCGCAGGCTCACTGAGTCTTAAATGTGTACCCCTGCATAACTCCCAGAGAGTGCTGCATGTTCAGCTGCTCAGTACCCTTTAGTTTAACGTACTTCTACAGAAGTGATGCAAAACTACGTGTCAGATACTCTGCAGCCCAATAATGAAGAAAATAAAGTCAAATTTTACTGAAGCATAAGAAAATTAAACAGGAAGACAGATAGTAATTTTGACTACAAAAGGTAAGTTTTGCCTTAAATACTGAAAATAAGAAAGCTCCAAAATTGTCTTAAGTGGAATATTTAATTTTCTTTTTTAAATTAACCACACACACACAAGCATAAAAATCTTAGTGTGATCAGTCTTACAACTTTGAGATTTGTTATTTCCAGTTGGAAATACATCCCTAGCATTACCGCTTTGCATCTAACGATGTCCCATGTACTGGGAGAACACCCATTCACTGAATGGATACAACATGGGAGTGACAGAGCTGTAACATCATTCATGCTCTTTAGTGAATCTTTATTTCACTAAGGCATTAACAACTACTGAAGTTTTCTGCTAATGGCAGTGTTATCAGCCAAAAGCAAAGAATTTAGGCAAGATTCAGATAATACAGCCAATGAACTGTTCAAGAGGTATAAACAATATACAGGAGTGCAATGAACATAAATCTCACAGAACAAAACTGTCTTGTGGCAGGAACATCTGTTGCTTCTTAATCCAGGCTGCACGGGCGTAACAGAGCTACATCCTCACTACATCCTCCCATGTAGTCAGAGGGATGCACAGAGAAGGCTCTGCACCTGTAGGTTTTGCTAACAAAAATATATGACATTTTAATAAGAACACTTTGAGTGAAGAATGGAGCAATGATTGTAATAAAAATTATTCACGTGGGACAACACAAGTGCTAAAACATTTAGGTACATCTCTTCAACCAAAAGGCAAACGTTACTGCCACTGAAGAGTGATATGAATACCTAAGGGTTCCTGCAATATGCAGGTCATCTGGTTTACACCTACATACTAACCCCAGTAGGATAAAGAACCAAAATTTGCAAGCAGCGTATATGCAGAGCACTTTGCAGAAAAATGCTAATTTGGACAGTCTCCTTTTCAGTTGCATTGGAGAACAAACACTGCAAGGTCACAACAAAGAAAGAGCTACTTTAGATTTAAGACGGGAATGAAATTAAAACTCACCCAGTGCTGCAAATAACTAATCCTGCACTAAAGTATATGTACTACATTTCAACATATCCTAAATTTATAGTCTGTCAAGTCCCCACCTATGAAAATTTCTGCTGAGTTTTCAGTTCTTAAAACAGTGACTTATAGTGACAGACTTTAAATACAAACAACCTGCGTTAATAGTATAATGTTACAGTATGGTGTGTAATAGTACAAATGGTCATTATACATAGTAAAGACTTACTTTTCAGTATGCTGTACAAAGTCAAGGCAAAAAAAGATGTTTCAGACTCTTTTTTTTTCTTTTTCAAGAGAAATGAATAAAACATGTAAAACTGGCGACAGACAATGAAATGCAAAAACAGTTTTCAAAATTCTTAATGCATACACTCTACCCTAAGTTGTAAGGTGGTCCCGTGATGTTCAACCATCTTATCCCCATCTTATCCCTACTTCTTAAATTGTTAAGACAGATAGGATTTTACTCCCCTTATACATACAGTGATTAAATGCATGTGTTAAAAAATAAAGGCCTTTATCCAAGAGAAAATACAGGAAACATTACAGTGAAGAGCACACGGTTTCGCTGCAATAGCAGAAGGGACGGAGTGCCTTGAAGGCTGCCTTCTTGCCAGCAACAGGAGATCTCTAACAGCTTGTCAAAGAAACAACGGTACTCGGTAGAAAGTCTAATACAGTAAACACAAAATACAGAGTTCAGAGATCTTTAGTGTTTGTGCATAACTTGCCACCCATTTCTCTCCCTGCAGACAGTGGGAAAAAGAATACATTTCAGTTTTCATACTCAATGACTTAGAAACAAAGTCAGTCAAGCTTCCTACATGAATTCACATAGTGAAAAGTCCTTCCTTCAAAAATATACAGGATCACTCAACTCATTTTCATTCTCATACACCATTTAAAAAAC